TTTTTTATTTGTTTTATATACCAAGGAAATATATGACATTTAAAAAGACATTTGGAACGCTGACGCAATATTAAAGTCTTTTATTAGGAAAATAAATCAAGACAACAAAACTTATTTTAGAAATATACAATTACTTAAAAGACAAAATATGGTTAAAGAAATATCAATTCTATTTATCTACAGGGACAAAAATTCTGAATTGAGGATTTAATATTATCTTAGTATGTATTTATTATTTATTTTATTAATGAGTACTATAATTTATCTAAATCACTTCCATTAGAAGATATTCTTAGGTTGCACCATAGATATTTAAATTATAATGTGCAATAAAGAATATTTCGTTCATTCATTCATTATTTGTTATTTAAGTTACATTTAGTAAAGGAAATGTTCATAATTTAATAATAAATTAAATATTTTATGAAACATATAAAATAAAATGGTTAAAACCTTTTTAAACATATTTATTTGTTACCACATTAATTACAGAATAAATTATAATCAACTTTTGTCTACTTGGCTGAGATCATTTGTTATTCTACTCATAAATTTGTACAATCATGATTTATATTACGTACTGAATAACGTAGGAAATTTCTTACATAACTTATATTTCATGATAAAATGCAAGCAATATATATTTTTTCTCACTGTGATACGTTTTAAAAAAGGAACGTGTCATTAAAAATATGACGCTACTCAAACGCTCTACTGCCACATGATTCGTTAATTTGGCATAAAGACCTTCCTTAAGTGACAAAATATTTTTTTGAGATGTCTTAAAAAACCATAACCCAGTTTTAGTATATTGAAATTGTTTAATGATATTTCAGGTATGCATCGTTAGGGTAAGTTCCGATAATTCGAATACGTTAACTAATTTTAACTGTTTTAAAAGAGAATTTTGTGCTCTATTTTTTTCTATTTAAAACGGATATTTCACTAGCCGCGTTTTAGTTAATGGACGGCAGAGATCATCAGTCTACCTTGTAGGTGGTCTGCCCACCCTCCGTCTTCCGGTACGCGGTCGCCACTCGAGAACTCTTCGGCCCCATTGGCCATCTGTTCTGCGAGCAACGTGCCCTGCCCATTACCGATTCGATCTCGCAACGAAACTCCGAGCATAGCCCTTTCCATAGCCCTTTCAACCACGTCTCGGTGGCTCACAATGGTAGAAGACTTTTGTTTTGAGGCACTGTGGTATTTTGGACAATTATAAAGTAAAATCCGGTGAATTATTAAACAGCATGAAACAAAAGTCGTTTATGGTGTTAGTAATAGATGTGGTTAACATTTTACAAATATGTATATGAATTACTACTTCCTACAGCGGATATTCTTGAATCGATTAAGTAAAATGAGATATCGATAGATTTATACAAGTCGTGGGAGTGCTTTTAAGTAAAAAATCATTATGCCAGATGCTAGATGCCATAATGGTTTAAAACTGTATTTGTGTGATCGATTTTAGTTCTAACATCAATGGGTCGCAATGCGGTCATCACAATTACAGGTAACAACGTTTGCCTATTAGTGGACTGTTATCTTGAGCATCGTCCATCAATAGTATGATTTTTGGCAAATAAAGCTTAGATAACACGATTTTAGTTTCAGGGATATTAATAATAATATTTTAGGTTTTATCATAAACATATGATAAAACTTTATTTCCCTGCAAAAATTTTGGTTTTGTGGTCACAACAACGAAAATTTGAAATCTGCCTACCATTAAAGAAACGTACCAATTTTCCGGTTTCTCTTTACTTAAAGACAAAAGAGAACGTTATATTTCAAATTAACAGTATATTTCAACCAAAATTCTACAAATTGATGACAGAGAACGTAAAAATGTGAGATTATATTTGCGAGATTAGTAAATACCAGTGTGTAAAATCTGCCTTTTTGAACAGGAAGTAAAATGATATTTGTCACTTTTAATAAAATTTTATATAGTAATGTAGCTGTTGTCGACAGTTTTATCGATAGATTGTGAAACAAGGTAATGTTTAACCAGTAAGTCTGAATAGTGTATGTTATGACGTTCTAATGATTAGTAATTGTCTTTTTCATTCTAATTTTGACAGTAAGCCGACTAGTATCGAAATCAGTTTTTATTCGTATACGGTTTAACAAAAGCAGGCGGATTTGATTATCTATATATTGAATTTCAAATGAAATACTGATCTCAGCGCTTTGTATTTTTTTAGACATAGTTTTCTAAATCAGTGTATGTATGTGTGAACTTAAGTCAAACCTGAAACAGGTCCATTTTGAATTTTTTTACACGGTAATAATCATACACCACTTGACAATAGCGCGCTTTACACAGACACTCTGTCGCGCGTGTTAAAGCAATTGTAAAATTGTAATTGCAACTCATAAGTTAAGCGCGCAGTCGCACACTCCAACATGCACCAGTTTTACGCGGTCTATCCTGTGCGATTAGCCTTTATACGGCTCCTCTTTTCCGTTGTAATCAAAAAGAACACGAGCAATCGCGCGCGAAGGAACGTTAGTTTAAAAAATTTTAAACAAGTAATCTAAAATATTATTTATAGTCCGTGCTCTCAAAAAAATAAAAACATTTTTGGACCAAGTAAGTATTTGTAAGTTTTGTAATGAAGATTTTATTGTTAACCTCATTTTTAATGCATTTAAGAAGATTATTTTATATTTTTGTACACATAGCATAAGGACCAGAGCCATGTGTTATTAATTTTCAAGCTGGAACGGATATTTTTGTCTAGGTCGTGAGCACTCAAGCATTAAAGAATGCTTCTAAATAAATGTAAAGCAATGCAACTTATGGACTTTCCTTATTAGCGGGCTTTACACAGGCACTCTATCGCGTATGGTACAGCAATCGTGCGCGTTTGAGCGCGCGTGTAAGGACGTTGGAAGGGAAAAGGGAAAAACCGCGTGATTGCGCACGCCAACATGCGCCCACGTTTACACCAACATTTACACGGACGCTTTTCCGTTGTAATGCAAACGAACACGAGCAATCGCCCGTGAAAGAACGTTAGCTTAAAAAAATTCGAACATAATCGCGCACAATTGCGCATGCAGGCTTTCCGGCGCGCAATCCTGTACACGTCTGATCACGCGCTATAGAGTGACTGTGTATAAGAGTATTCTTTAAAAGCAAATTAATATAGAAAAAAAAGCAGCCAAAAGTAGACTTGCGTAAAGTTTGTTCAAATACAAACCATTAAAAGTTTGAATTCCCGGACCCATCTCGGGGTAATGTACTCAATACTCCCAGCCTCGGGATTTCAATCAAAGCAGCTTATTGCGTAGTTAAATATCAGTTTATTCAATCTTGTTCCGAGAAAATATTTGTTAAGAAATAATTGAAATGGCCAAACAAGTATTTCTATGAACTAATTCACTTGACTTTGATATTGTTGCATTAGAATAGTTAATTTTTATTTATTGTTGCACTGTTTGTCTATAATTATAACCCAGAATAGACTAACTCAGGCTCGGATATGCAATGTTTCGTAAAGTGGGTCTGTTAAGGGATAGTAAACTTGGCACTTCATATTAAGCGCGTTTGCGCTATGCATCCAATTAGTATTCGTTCGGAATCCGAGTAATGACGGTCCGAAATGTCACAGGGAACATTTTATCTCTAGGTGTTCAAACGATATTCGTATTTTATCGGATTCAAGTCGGACTAAGTGTACAAGTGACATCTGAAGTAGGTCTCCGGGGGTCTACTCTCGATCTCCGTCTGACATCCGTCCGAAACAATTACTGCCAAATAAGCAATACTCGACCAAATGAAAAGACGCGTGATGCGAATGAAGCTTCATACTGGATACCTGTAGTAGAGTAGAGCCCCTGATTCGGAATGAATTTGAATCGGATGCAGTGTGTAAATTCGCAAACACATACTCTTTTTGCCCTAAAGGCCACTAACGCGTTTATTTATACGTGGAATATAACGTATATGCGTTGTATGTATGTTACATTGTTGTTTTAAGATTTAACGAAGTAACTTAACTAATTAAGACAAAAGTTTTTGGCTTAAATGTGTTTTCTTGTTAAACAGCACCGAGCGTCTCTTTCGCGGGGTTGCATGTCGTACGACTGCGGTACATCGTTCCCTGCCTACCAACCCTGTGGCTACCTCTCGCATCGGACGAGACAGGTATGTAAAATATCGCAGTAAACTAAAAATAGCAGTAAGTAAAGTAAAATTCCATCTTACCGGTTCTTCTATATTTGTCTTTGCCTCAGCAAGGTCAACTAGTTGTTAATAAGGTTTTTTGTACAAACTCTGAAAGGTATATGTCTCTGGAGTCAGGGCAATTGCAGATACAGGAGACAGGGCCGATCACTTTTTATAAAGTGGATTTACTATTTATCGGTATGTAGGTATAACGAAAAAAGATAAACGCCTTTAAAATAGTGTTGAATAGAGAATGCTGCGTCGAACGCTATGTAGACCAACAAATTTGTCCTAGAACAACTTTGAGTGTAAATCGGACTCTGAACGATATGCTATCAAAGGATTCTTTGGCCTTATTTCTATCGTCAAACCGAGAATCTCAACAGGTAATGTGTGATGGCTAAAGTAGTGCACTGGTGCGACTAAGTAATTCTCTAGTCTTCCCATTCAAACCGCTCTGAGAGAAACTGTAACCCCAAAGAAGTAAAAATAAATCGTTCATAAGCAGTGCCGGCTTTATCTTCAGCGCAGGATGGGCGGCGCCGTCGCACAAGGTTGCAGGGTCTTAAACAGGCGTCGAGTGCCTTTCGCGACCCTTCCAAAGAGCCTGTATCGCTCGCAATGCAAGCAAAGTAAACGGGCTATTGCTTCCAAATACCGCTAAGGAAAATATAATTGTATCTATTCCATTTCGATCGCGTGGCTAGTACATGGCGCCAAGGTATTGATTGCAAACGGGCACTACATGAGCTAGGGCCGGTGCTGTTCATAACCCACGAAAACTTTCAGAGACACGACCTTTAGCAATGAGAATGTTTCTAAATAAATAAAAACTAATGCAACTTAAGGAATCTCTATACTAGCAGGCTTTACACAGACACTCTATCGCGTGTGATATAGCGATCGTGCGCGATTGAGCGTGTGTGTAAAGACGTTGGAAGTAAAAGGGAAAGACCGCGCGATTGTGCTCATCAACCGCGCGTGCAATTGCGCCCTCCAACACGCGCCAGTTTCACGCGGTCAATCCTGCCCTATTAGCCGTTACACGGACGCTCTTTCAGTTGCAACACAAACGAACACGAGCAATCGTGCGCGAAAGAACGTTAGCTTAAAACATTTCAAACAGGTAATCGCGCACGATTGCGCGTGCAGCGCGCGCAATCCTGTGCGCGCAGATCACGCACGATAGAGTGACTTTGTAAAGGAGGCTATTTTCTTAAATATAGTGTTTCTATAACTAGATAGGAACCTGAAAGCTAGTCTCGAAAGCGCGACCTCATACAAGAAATATGTTTTCGCTTCAGAAATCTTAAGATAATTATTTAAACCAAAATGCCCTCAATCCGTCACATGCCGTTACTCTATTAATATGTTTCCGAGACCCAAAGTAGATCCAATATGTTCCGTTTACTAAAGGGGATTTACTGAGGTTATAGGCCAAAACTTGTTATAAGTAACCATAGATACGATAAGATGCTTTATGGTTTCTCTCGTCGGAAAGTATTTAGTCACTATTGATAAGAGACAAAGATAAAGGACATTTTAGAACCATTAGACTCTCTTGATTTCATAAGAGCCGAAAGCAACGATACATTTTTATGACATAAGATTATAATAATATCACTCATGAGCCCTGTTTTAGGGACAACTATAAGAGCATAGGCAGGTCGATCAAATTCTGTATAATAAGAAGTACGCCTCCGCGGCAATTCAATTAAATTAAATTACAATAATACAGGGCGTCCCACGATTATGCCACACGGAGGGAAAGTACCTAAAATATCGTAGATAGAAAATTTTATTGAAAGAAGACTTCATTTTGATTTCAAAAACAATTCGAACTGCATTCAAATATTTATAAATAATCCCCTGTCTCAACCGGGAATCGAACCAGGCAAATGTGTCGAAAAAGGGAGGAGGTTCTTAAACTCCTCCTTTTTTTTGAAGTCGGTTAAAACTAATATCGATCGCAATGAATCGGTCGCGTGTCTGTATACGCTTAGTGACAGAAGGCTGTGCTGATTTTATTATCGAAGACATTACAGGCATGCTGATGTTTGTAGCTTTTTATTTCAGTTACTTTTATAGCGTTTCGAGTTTTAAGTACCTATTTGCAAAGTAGAACGTTTGTAAAAGATGTCATTTTTCTGCTTCATACAATAAAATAGTCGAAGGAATATTGTGCTTTATTGAAGTCGTGTTCCGGTTCCACAAATAGAGTTATTGCTTTCTAACCTTTGCAATTAATGGGCCTTCACAGTGCGACTCAGATGACCTACGCGGACGTTTGTCGCGGATGGTAAAATTTATTATATTTATACAGCACATTCAGTGCGACGCGGTGGCGGAGGGCTATCCGCACTGCCTCTCCACGTGCGGACGCGCACTGTTCTTACGTAGTCATTCGGTGCACGGCGGTCGGTCGCGCGGAGTGGTTGTGAGGTACCGTGTCGTCGTCATGGCTGCGTCAATTGAAACCGAGAGAGTTATTCAAGAGGATTTGGACCATGTTTGTGGAATCTCCGCATTATTACAAAAATAAATTTAATCTTCTTGCAACTCCGAAAACAAAGACACAAATTCTCCTTTAAAAAGTTTTTTCGCCACGAAAGGGTGCACATTAAACCTTCTTTTACCATGACCCCACTTTTTACTTAGTAAATAGGCGGCAAAGACCACTTTCAAATTTTATTTATTTATTTGAAGGAAGATCAACAGCTTAAAACTTAATAAGGAATCTGGTTGCACAATTCACCTAACTTATTATATAAAACATTAAAAAAAAAACGAAAAACCATAGAAGTTAAAAGCCTCACTAAGAGTCAAAGAAGTGCTCACTCAGTGCTCACATTGCCGAAATCACAACATCAACATCAAAAGTATTACATAAAATATTAAAATTATTGCTTGCACATCACATAAACTCGCTTTGCCTGTAGTTAGTTCGGTCCGGAAATAGAACCAAAAGTGAATTGTTCTAAGATACTTAGAGGGAACTCTCAGTTTTATGCATAACTGTATCCACCCTGATCACAATCCGCGAGGAACTGAACAGACTTCGTCCGCTCGTCCACGTCGCACTGACAAGGCCGATAGAATAGAATAGTGCGCATACGACACTGCGAACGAAGCTAAGCTAACGAGCTTAGCTCACGTAGCCGGGGCACCTTTTCATACTTCGGTTCACACCGCGAACTAAGCTAACCGAACTAACTAAACTAACCAAACGATCCTGCTAGCCATGTAAAATATGTCGCCCTTCACCCCCGCACGTGTCCTTAATCACTACGTACTACGTATTTTTTTAGCTTAGCTTTGCATGCAACTAGTGGTGCTCATGTAAAAAATATCGATATTTTTTCCGATGTGATACATCGAAATGTTGTATCGATATTTTGCGATATACCGGTACAAAACATCGATATTTTCGATATATCGTAAATAATTACAAAAGATAAAAGAAAGGAAGTTTTACTAACAGTAAATAAGTAAAACCATCAGATTCGACAGAGCAATCAAATGTATTTATTATTCTTATATTCTTATTGGCTAGCCGCACACGTACAATATTATTGACAATCTAAGTTTATGCATGTTCCCAACACAACAATATCGTCTGCAGACAAGCAATAGCCCATGAGAACATAATCACTACGTAACACTAATGTATGACCAGCGAATCAGTGCTCGAAGTGTGTTTCGTTTCTGCAAGTACAATTTTGAATTGGGTACTTTCAGCTTTGTACGATCTTTCATGTATCGGATAAAATGTATCGATACCAAATGATACGATAATATCGGATTAATTCGATATATTGAAGGCCTATATCGATATTTTTTTGAATATCGATATATATCGAGCACTCCTACAGGCAACTACGGGAGCTAAGCTAAGTTAGCTAGCTTCGTTCGCGGCGTGGCTTGCGCTTACAGTACTTTTATTGACCAGAATACAGTCATTATATACAGTGCCTCTACCATGAGTTCACAGTAATAGTTGTCGCTAGCATTTATTATTATTTGTATACCAAAGAACAATAAGCTATTATAAGCGTTCCTTTTCCTGTGATCGCTAGGGTCGTCGTTCAATTTGCTATATAAAATTGTCAAACAATTTACAAAGTCGCTAGCTGACAACTGTCTCTGTGATCTCATGGTGGAGATCTAACATAGACGTATTAACGTATTTCAATTAAATTAAAAATACGATTTCAAATTTTTTAAGTGATAATGAACACAAACGATACCGGTAGTGAATTATGGGGCTCGAAACACGGTTAACTAAACTACGCTTGATAAATTTCCACAATTACCACTTTTTACTACATACACCCTATTACACAATATACCTGACCCCCTAATATGCTCTAAACGGCCTTTTGATTCTGAGACCTATCTTACGTATTGAACAGAAAAAAAAAGTTGCTTAAAGATGATCAATTTATATTTAAAACCAATAACTAAATTACGTCACTTGTTAACATCCGTGTAAATTGGTCGTGTGGTTTGGTGTGTGGACTGCAAATTGCTAATATGGTTAGATTCTACGAGCACTCTTCTTTTAATATGAATTATTAACGGAATTGTTTCACTTTAAAATGTTAACGTTGACAAGTCACAATTTTTAATATTTATTTGTGTAGTTTTAAGTTGTTTACTTTTACAATTTAGAAAAATAAAATATTTTTTATTTATTCAAGAGAAGCTACCTTTTATTTCATTCACCTATTTTGTTATTTACCTAGTTTGTGGATACAAATCGAGAATCTAACACTCGAAGATATTCCTTACAACTATCAGAGGTATAAAAAAATATTATTTACAATATTATATAGCCATAGCTAAATAATATTTTATTCAACTTGCAAAGCAATTCTACGGCTGGTTTCAAAGTTGTGCGTACGGTCCGTACGGATTGTCCGCCTGCGGACCATCCACGTAAGTTGAATCCACAGTGCCCTGAATAGAGTATTTTCACTTAGTGTGAATATTCACGCAAGACAGTCTAACAATGAACGCACGCGTGGCTTGTATGGAATGCACGCGGAGCGTGTTCCGTACGGAGCAATCCGCGTTACTGTAATGAACCGATGATATTATTTCGCCGCACGTGTTGCTCCGCTCCGGTGTTTCGCGCGGACGATCCGCACTGCTCTGAAACCAGCATGCGACCGCTAGACCACAACGACCTTTATTTATTTTTGCGTTTTTATGCGTTATTATCTGCGTTCCTAATTAATGTAAATTGTATTTGTATATTCTCTATTATCAAAGACTGATTTTTTTATGTATGTTACGCGATAATTCTATTTGTGGACCGATTTTGATGATTTTTTTTGTTGGAATGAGGGTACCTCTGTAGTGGTTCCATTTAAATTTAAAGAAAATATTCGACCTCTAAGAGTGACAAGGGGATGAATTCGGGTTCGCGCACTTTCCGGTAACCGATTTCAATAAAACTTGGCAAATAGATGTAATTCCACGACCTCTTGAGGTCGGCCGACCTTGAGATATAATCCTGAGATTGATATCAGGATTATATTATTTATTATTGAATATCAATTCAATTCAAATTTAAAGATGCACATCTTTTTCAGAACTCAGTTTTCGTCGGCAGCGTCGGAGGCATGGCTCTCATACCAGAAAGTCCGCCTCGCCGCTCCCGCTCCGCCGCTGACCTACCCGCGCTTGTACCTTCAATCGATGTTCCTCAATCTACGCCAAGATCCTCACGAGCCGCGAGTCTTCACAGCGCAGTCGACTTAAGAGTCCATATTCCTTCACCAAGAACTTCAAGAGCTGCAAGCCTCCATTCCGCTGTTGATATGCCTCCTGGTTCTGTTCAAGTGCATGTGAGAGGTTCCGTAACCAACGTGAATAGACCTCGGAGCCCAAGACGGTTAACCATCACAAATGTTTAAGGACCAATCTGTCAATTAGGTAGGTGTGTTGCGATGTAGTTTCTTGCTACCCTCCTAGCTTCGAACTTCGTTATCTATTTAAAGAAAGATGATACATAATTTGTATTTACTGTTAAGCTAAAATGGACCCAATGATGATGATTTAACAATGTTCGCATTGTCAGTGAAAGAAACGCAGCAGAATACTGTGGGTCTCGGTTTACCGTCTTAAATTTTATTCCCTATTGAACCACTTATTGATATTGCTATTTTTTTCATTCAATTCGCTGTACCTATATTAACATGTGATGTAAAGTGGTGACGTAGTCGATGATATAATAACCTATTTATAATTATCAAGTTCGTAGTTTTTGGCAATAGCTACAATTTGGAAATAAAAGTATTTTTTCCAGTTTAAAGTGACGTATATTTGTCATTTCAAACAAATCCCCATTTCGGGCACTTTACAGGTTCTACAGGGCTGAGTCAACTATGTCAGTTTTTCCAAATTTATATTTGGAAAAAATAGCTTTATTTCCATAATTTCCAATTATTTAGAGTACTTTTTAAAATGTACTGTTTGATTCAGTACTTAAGTTAATTCCTTGATTACTTATGCTGACACAGCGGCCTAAAGCAGATCTTGGCCTTCGCAATTAAAAGACGTCTCTGCGATCTGTTCTGACGAATTTCGTACTACTTACGTAGACTACATACACAATAAATGAAGCTATTATGTTCTAACTTGCTGATGTAGAGTATACTTCCCGATGGAAAATTGATAAAGTCAACAATGGCAAAAACAATGATACTTATATCAGACGTCTCCACTTTTTACTGAAAGTTAAAAATGTTTCAAATTTAAATAAATAAGATGGCCGCCATACAACATTTAACTCCAAAAAAACTATTAGCATTAGGCAATAGTCCAGTGCTCGTGTTTAAAATTTTGTCAATGTGCATTTAAAATGGCGGCCAAAAAATGCTCCAACGTAGTCGAAAAATTTAGCAAAATACTTAATTTAATATTCTATTAATTTCATTGGAGGGTTGTCGCTGACCACGATACTAGAATCAACCCCCTGTGAGGCCACAACAACTGCTTCAGCGAAGAGCAAAGCCCAAGTCACAGGTGGTTGGAATAGGGCTCGTATTCAATACAAGCATTCGAAAGTAAAAGGCGATGCTTTGCTGTTACTATTATTAATATCAATCGTAAGGGTTCTGGGAATCTATTTAATTTCAGTCAGTACCAATTTATGCCTAACCTATTCTAACTTAGCCTTATTCTTATCCTATTCTTATTCTTGGACAATTCCAGTAGTCTAGCTCTTTCTCTCCTCTCATATCTATTCTTCTCTATACTGTAGTTATATATATGTATAGACGTTTGTATATAGCGTTTAACGCGTAGTCGTGTGGTGCTATTTCTAAGAATACTACATTTCACATCATGCAAATAATAAAATATACAATAAATGATATTTTAATAAATACAAATTTATCATTTTATCACTAGTATGCCTAGACAGTATTTATTTTGATTACTTAATACCAAATGTATATCGTTTCCCACGTGTATACATATTCTAAATTTTTTAATAGAATATGTCGTACCCTTGGTATAATAAAACCTTCTAATAAAAAGGCATAAAAATAATACTTACTTCATAAAACAAATTATTATTCTCGCCTTTGAAATTTTATAAACCTATAAGTTATCGACTAATTAATTAGTAGAATCTTTCAAACTCTGTCCTGAAAAGTTGATATTTTGAATATAAACTTATTACACCAATGGTGCGATGTATTAATTGCAATATACACGCAAAATCGATGCTATGACGTCGAGTTGCGGATACCACAGTCCGCGTCTATACACACATGTATTATTATTGCATTTAATTAATGACAGACTTCAATATTCTGCTTAGAATTGTTACATTAAATAAAACTATATAGGAATGTTGCTATTGTGTTCGCCAGCTGTGTATTGGAAAGGTCATTAATGCGTGTATAATCAATTAATCATTAAAACTAAATATATAAAACAAACAAATGCCTGTAATTGCATGTGTACCTATACATTATACAGTTAAGTTGGGTGTAACTTTGAACTCTTTTTCCAGGTTTTTACGGGTATTAAAATGAAAGTATATTGATAGATCGGAATAGTTTTGATATATTAATGAGTATACCCAAATATAATAATTTAACTAAAATTTCAATATAGCCGTGGTAACGTAATGGTTTGACCTAGCATGTCTCAAGCAGTGACCGTCGAATCCCGCCTCGCGTCACCGAGTTTCTTAGAGTTTATGTGCGAAATTTAATTTGAAATTTACCATGGCTTTTCGGTGGAGAAACACGTGATGAATTCTGCACGTCGAAGAAGTTTCACAACCCTCGGAAAACGTGTGAAGCCTCCAAACCACATGGGCCAACGGCAACGTAACGGACAATGGCCTAAATCCGCACCTGAGAGAAAATCCGTGCGCAGCAGTGAAACATGTAAATGAGTTCACGATGAAAAAAGCTGTTTGAGAAAATTGCGCTTAATAGGCTGTTTAAAGTTACCCCGATTGTTTGTATGATTGAACGGAGTTATTTTGGCCAGCGAAAATATTTCTTCATTGACAATTTAACTGACTCCTCGGGTGAGATTAAGGATTAAAAATAAACAGATCTGTTAAACTAAATACACTTGTCAACTATTATAAAAATAAACTGAAGCACATACAAATATTCACTCGTTGAGCTTTGAAAACCTCTTTGATAACTATCGTGTTCTTAGGTCCACAGGAAACGAAGCTATTTTGTCGGATCTATATCGCCTGTAAAAGGCCCGAAACGTTGGTTTGTTTGGAAAAACAAATATACGCGGTTTAGATGCGAAAAAATAGTTTAATCTTCTATTTCTTTGACAACTGTCAATAGCCCCATTTACACAGTCACTATCGAGTGCAGGGTTACTGAGACGCGGAACCATGCGTTATTACCTATTTGAAATTTTTTAGCGCGATTGCTCATGTTCGTTTTTGTTAGGCCTTATATTCAGAGTTACGGTGGGCGCGGGTGCGTCTAAATCAAACCTAGATGCTCGTTGCGTTCACAGCGGCTCGTGCGCCGCGGGTGTGGATCTGTTGGCTCAGTCCGCCCGTACCATTCACAGTGCATGATCTAGCGTCTGTTTGCTACTTTGATGTGTGGATCTAGCGGTTTTATTCGCTTCGGCTCTGTGAAAGGGAAGACGCTAAGATCCGCGCGCCCGCACCCGCCGCCGCGTCCGCGTCTGCACTCTGAATGAGCCCTTACAATTTAAAGAGCGTCTGTGTAAAGGCTATGATTATACCTTTATTTTATCATGAAATAGCGCACAGAAATTTTATTTTAAGCATTAATTGCCTGATATTGCGCTTGAAGAGTATAAAAGTGATGTTGTCCAAAAACGGTGGTTACGAGGTTTTTAAATTTAGCCAACTGCAATTTTTTGAAAAAAAAAAGAAACTTCAAACTAGTTTTATCTATTCAAAGTTACCCAACTTGACGACAGCAAAAGTATTGAATTTTTAGGGCAAATGTTTGTGAAAGTCATAAAATATTGCGACAAATGTCATGTCGACACACATTTAAAGGCTAAAATATTGTAACAACGAATCGAACATTTGTGGAGACTAATTTATTATATTTTCGCTACGCGCATACATATTTATGCGGGCTGAACCTAAACTCGTATATAATTATTCGTATTATAGTCAGGTGGGTTAAGAGGAACATACTTTTTGAGTCAAATGTTTTGAGCTCTAGAATAGAGATTTTTTTCTTGAAATCTCTAGAAAGAATTTCGAAGTACACTAAACATGTCTTTGTGTATTACGATGTATTTGCCGGAAACGTGCAAATTGTGTTAACGTTTCCTTTTCCCCAAAAGATGGGGTAAGGGGTACAGTCATCCTATTTCTTGTAAAGGTAATTTATATGTAACTAGTGTTCTCAAGATTTCACAACTGTCAGATTTGTTTGTTCAACCATTTTGTTTTTGGAGCATCGTAGCGACATCTCTTTAAGATCATTAGAACTAATTAATATGTTTTATCAGTTTTATCGACTGTAAGACTATACTAACATTTGAAAACGGGAATAAACGCGTTTCAAGACTAATAGGTATTTTCACACCTACCTATTTTCCCTACAATTCGGCTAGATGGCACTGGCCGTGGATGCGGTGGTACGTCTCCATCTCGGCGGTGGAATCTTCATCCACCCTTGTTATATTTTTCAAAATACCGCCACACACAACACTAACGGTGTCCTTATTCTGTACCGAAGCCGTATTCTGGCAAGCAGTAGATAGCGAAACTCGATATTGAGTTTTAACTAAAAAAACTTAGTATCGTTTCTTGTGATCGACTACAGTTCATTCCCATTTTCAAATGTTTGCAAAATGCAACACGAAAGTTTAAAAGTGCATATGTGAGACTATAATGCAAATCTCTTCCCCAGGTATTCCTATTGTCCCACTTTAAATATAATATATTCTTTTTCCCCATTTTCTGAGTCTAATTATATTAGAGAACTCATCCAATTACAATCTTCTTGATTTTATTTAGCCCTGTCAATAACGTCCTTTATACAATTACGTATCTCTATACTTATATTATATATCTAGCTAATTTATTACGTAGACCATTAGACATAATTTACGGAAAAAAATGCAGCCAACGAAATTGGTCACAATTTTTTTCTGTATCAATGATTCTATAAAGGCCTATTTGAACTTACTGATAAAGTGAAACACTTAACAAATATTAATTTAAATGTTGAACGAATGTGTGCTAAAAAATTAGCTTTTAATGAAAAAAAAAAAGAATAATGGTTTTGCATATGGAAAAATATGTATTTTTTATTTTATTTTGTCCTTTCATCTAGATGGTTTTATTAAAGTCAGACTTTTGCTGTTAGACTTTTGTTTGTTGTTTTTTCGTTCTTAGAATACATAATTATGACTCTTAAACTAAAATTCGCTACACTACACCTTCGAGGACCTCAGTGACCTAGCAGTTAGCATAATATGCACTAGATAAGGACGTCTCAGGTTTGAATCCTGGAAATACCAACTTTTCTAAATTAGTTCTGGTTTGCGTGTTCTGGTAGACATATAGGGATTTCATTTGAACCAGTTATTAGTGTGGTTGTCT